TCGCTGGGCGTAAGAAAAGTTATGAGGTTATCGTATGCGTGGCTGCTCAAACAGTACAGAACCGCCTCACCAGACGTGCCGCAGTGAGGCAATAATCGCAGTCGGCGATAACGCTGTCATCTATATTCCGTATTGTCACGTATACATTTAGAGACGCACGCAGCAACTGCTAAATTTGGGTGATGGTATTAAGAAATCAGCTGGAGGTGCTCCTTACCAAAGAACTGTAAAAGAAACTTCCTGGAGCACCGTGAGCGAAACTTTTTTGTTGTTTACTTTGAGCATTTTATGAGCTACAGGGTGAGGTGGAAACACTGGGCCCCGAGACGAAAGGACAGACATGGAGAGGTGAGAGAGCGTGGGGACCTGGGAGACGCAGACATACTTATGCGCAAAAGTGGAGTCACAGCGCAGAGGTTGTATGGTGGGGTATGCCGGGGGCTTTGTTAGGCTCCATGCCGCGGAAACGCTTACAACCTGAGCTAACGCTAACTTTCACAGTCGAAATACCATTCTCGCATAGAACCTTTCTCCAGTCAAGTAATCATGGCGTGTGCAATGTTTACTTTAAGCAGCCTTAACTCTGCGACCAATCCAGCAAAAACTGCTTTTTGGTTGGCTGGCATCGCCTTCACTGATAAGAAAAATAGGATTATGGCCATCGTTTCAATGAATTTCGCCGAGATGGGGGAAAAGCGTTAGCTCACGGCGAAGCGCAACATATTCTTTCTTTTGTCACATAAAAGATTTTGTCGCAGTCACGAGGGAAGTTACTTCTGCCAATTTCAGAACACGAAGGCCTGATGCGTTGGGAGCACAATACACTATGGCACTCAGGCTTCATCGGTGATAATTGAAGTTAAGAGGCTGTTATTGCGTATCTGTGTTCCTCGGTTTGCGAGAGTGAACGGCGTGGTTGCGCGCGTTAAGGGACGAGAAGCCTATTTCAGCATCTTAGACGCGGCAGTCGCGTAGTCACAAAAGCGTCAATTAAGTGGATTGCCCATCATCCTCACCATCATACGAAAGGCTTCATGTGGTATCGAGGTTGCTGCAGCGTATTCGACTTTCTTATTTCGACGACTGTGAATGTACGCATAAGACCAGAAGTTTTACTTGATTGGGAGGCGATTCTCATGCTAGATAGCGGACTTTCATTGGTGAAAGGCCGCTCAGATGGTGCTGGACTTCACTCCTTCGACAATGTGGTCCTATCAGCGTCCTTTCCTCAACGAACGGTGTTGCTTGGTTCGCTCTTTGGTGCTTATGGAGCAGCTCCCGGCTCCACAATGAGATTCAATAGTCGTCAAGTACATTGTTGAGGCTACTGTGGCGCTACATTTCGAATTGGTCAAAGGCATCTACCCTCTTCGGAGTATCCGACAGGAGGCGCGTCGAGCGGAGAAAAGGCACGGACGCAGATGGGCGACGAGATGCAGCGCGTATTGCAGTGACCTGGGCCTCCTGTTGGGCTTCACCCTTTGCGCCTTTGCCCTCAGGTAGAGAGAGGTTTCCTAAGTCTGGATCGCGAAGATGAATCGGTTGGGGGCGGCCTATACGGCCCTTGATTGGTGTGAAAAGGTGCCTGAAAACATACTATTATACTAAGGGCGCCGCTAATGGTAACAAAAAGGTAAAATTTATTATACCTTGTGTGTGAAGGGCATCGTAAGTATTTTATTCTCGATTTTTCCAGTGGTAAAGCTGATCTTTCCATCTATGGACTTTTGTGTTGAATTCAACTCTCTTTTCATTCGAATATTCGGGTTCAGGCTCTGTTGGGCAAGCAATAAAAACAAAGGAACAAAGATTGGCATGCAACTACTTATGACAGCCCACACGGGCTGCCACTGGGGTGAATGTGCTAAATGGTAGAGTTCAAATCCTAAGCGAAGCGTTCCTATATTCGGCGCTAGCACTGTGCCGCTGGTGCCTAGATTTTGGAGACGTGGTTTGATCTACTGAGATTGGAGCTGACCTGACAAGGAGCTAGTGTGAATCTGGATTAGGGTTGATCTGGCTGACTATAGCCTTTCTTGGAAGTTTTAGCCTTTTAGCGCCTCTGTTAAAAGTTTAGTGTCTGAGGTCCTATGCTGAGGTTACGTTGTCACTTCTAAGAACTTGCACTGAGCACTCCAATCCCGAGACGTACCTTGCTGCTACAAAGCGATGCCCTGTTCATTTCTGAAAGACAACTGTAAGCTAATAAAAATGCCATCTCCAGAATTAGCACAAAGTCACGGCATTAGGTCAAAGTCACGTATCACATCTTTTACCACTGATAGGAAAGTCACGGTACAATGTTAAAGTCACGTATATCACAATATCACTGATTTTGATATCGGGTCCGTCGAACACTGTGCACACGAAATGTCCGCGACGACCGACATCAGCAGATGCAAGATTAAGAATCAAAATAATAACATTTAAAAAAACATCCTGCACTACACCCTGGATTCACTCTCACATCAGAAGGATGGCCAAGTATGGTGAACAGGGTCAACCACGACGATAGGAAAATATTTGAAAAGTTTAGACCCCTCCCCCAGTCCCAACCACTATACGCGTGAGAAAGGGGACCACCCACGAATACGACTCCCTTACATCACCCTCACACCATGACTGCTCCTGTAGTGGATTATGAGACCATCTAGCGGTGGAAGGAGGCGTACCCTATCGAGCTCAGATCTGAAATGCTGTTCTACCACCGTTTAAGCCGACAAAGTCGAAAAAATCGGTTCTGCATCAATGCTGCACTAGTACTGAACCACCCTTGCCTCGTAAACGGGAGCTCCTACTTGATGGAAGGCCCAGCAACGATTTTCAAAGTGAAAATAAACTCAGGATAGCAATGGGCTCTGATAAGTCCAAAAGAGCCCCCCTGATTTCCTATCTCTCGTGACATCCAGTGAAACCAGCGCGTCAACTACCTGCAACGTTTATTCGCACCATCTTAGTTTCGTGGTCGCCACAGAAACACGCCTTCTCATCAGAATGACTGCATTCAGCTCCTTGTCCCCTGTACTACTTGGAGCATCTATTGATAGTGCTCGGGTATACACCAAAACGATGATAATTGTCGCGTGCCAAAAACCCTCAACGTCGAAGTCCAATGATTTAGGGACGGTGTCAGTATCAGTCAACCGCTGCAGCTACCATAGATTTTGGTGGTTGAACAAGGTAAGCATAAACAATTCTACACCACAGTACCAAAACTAGGACAGAAGAAAACAGCATCTGTGAATATCAGTTCAAATTGTTTGCTCATGTGTTGTCTCCATAATTTTGGCGCACCCTGTACTTCAAGAACTGGTGGAACAATCCAATTTTCCCACCATTTTTGACATTTTGATCGAAAATATCTGAAAGCTCGTCAGAAACGGTCAATGCGTTTCCTTCGCTGCAACCCTCAGCAGCCATTTCCGGAACCACCCCCGAAAATTTTAAGCACAACCCCCATCTATTAGTGTCTACTAGCCACATTTATTAATAAAACCCAAATAAGAGATCCTCGTCAGTGAATCACCAACGGACAGCTGACCGCGCTGCTAAATGCTGGCCCGCGCGGTCAAAAACTGGACTACAACTGTTGCGTTCTTTGCGCATGTTCTTCGGAACTCTAGTGATCGCGAGAATCGTAGATTCACGAAAATTATTAGGGAGCAGCATCGGGGCAGATTGACTTGCCCTTGCGAGCGTTTTGGAGATTGAGTATCGACGATAGGGGATTCTCCTGAACAGTACGCATCCTCATTCTGATGGGCAATTAATATCGACGGGAATCTTCCCAAAACGTGGCAGAACATAGCATGTATGGAGTGAAAAATGCGACAGAATGGACGGCTATTTTCACTTGTTTGGTGCGCATTCGCCACAATACCATGGGAGAGCTCGTCGGTGGACCTTTGCGATTTTGCACGCACGTTCACGATAGTGGGATGGTGCAGCAGGTGGTGTGATGGGCTATCGATGGCAAGGCTTGACGATTAGCTGGTGGGGTTCGATCCTCACAAGCCAAAACAATGTCTACTGTAGTTTGACGCCGAATTATGCCAGAATGATTGTCGCCTTTATGATAACAACCACCAGTAACCTCTTTGGAGCTCTTTGGATATACGGATAAAAAAGTTGTGGCGTACAGGATTGCGATGGCGTATTTATGAGTCATATTTTTTGAGATATTAAAGGTATTCATGAGCCTGAGCTTGGTGGCCCGGACAATCATGATCCAGGATTTGATCCTCAAACGCGCTCGCGTATAACGCGTGCACATGCCACTGCCGTTCCGCTCCTGGTGAAGATGAAGTAATGAAATCCTAGTCAGATCGCGTTGGCTCTGCGAGTGTTGGTAGTGGGTGATGTGCCATCAAATGCCCTCTATGTTCTTCCGAGTGTTCTTTATATGGTAGTAAACGTATCAGTTTTTACAGAAGTGAGATCAAAATCGAAGCTGTGAAAAATCATTATATCCAACAAAACCTCACGTACGTTAACGGTGGAGAACAGAAGGCTGGAGCCGCGTAGTAAGCTCCTAGGACTTGCAGTGATGATCGCATGAAACAGCGCAATAATAAGCAGTTCAGAAGCTTAGTATTAAACGGTGAACAGCAGTGTAATCCGCGTTGATCGGACCCTTTTGGAACGCGCCGTGCACTCTATATCCCCATTCAAAATCGTAGTGACGTTTGAAAAAGCTCTGGCCTATACTTTGATTTGTCCCTGTCGCTGTGAGGAACTTATTGGCAGAAGTGACATCATGGCCTCGCCCACTTAAAAGAGCTGGCTGATGGGTTACCTTCCCATATCGTAATAGATGTAAGAGGAAAGCTTGAGGGATGGTCAGGTAGGGACCAACAAACCACACACAATGTGAGGTCTTTCCTTAGTATTTAGAATGATGTATTTATTACATTATATTTATTTACATCGTTGGTTTACATAATTACATCTCGAATCATATCTCAGTGAAACATGCATATATTAACCTATATGGCATAATACTATACAGTAATCAGGTCGCTAGAACATTCACAGTCGCAAAAAACGAAGGCTATCTCAACAAAGTCGAGCTTCAAGAGGTTCCGCCGCAGAGAATCAGAAACACCACGTGTTACCTAAACTTGTTGCAGTCAGAGCTGAACTCGTCTTCCGAAATAATACATTAGCATGGTTCCTAGAAATCCTGGTCATGATTTATCAACTATATCGTACCTTTAAGGGAAGATTTTGATCCATGACGATATCCAGTTCAACGATCGCTTGCATAGAGGTATGATAAACCATCGCATGGTTGATATACCTGCAACGGTTATTTCACAGCTCACCCCACATTCAGTATGAGATGTCTAAACCTATTATGTGTTCATGGGAACGAAGCCAGGTTTCAGATGGGAATAAGACGGAGCAGGAGATGACTAGAAGCCTGAGCCGTTAGAAGAGGTAAAAAGGACCATTCATATGTACAACGGCCGAAATGGGAAAAATGAGAGCATCTCCAATACTTTCTTCTTTTTGAAGGATTTCTCCGTTCTTCATGAAAAAAAAACCTTTTTTCACTTGTCCCATAAATACATTTATGCTCAATCACCAAACACGACGCCCCTCCAAATACGATCACCCGTTGAAATTTTTCAAACGGGCGGTTGACAACTCCTTTGATAAGTGTGGATTATAATGTTCCTTTTGGGCGCTTGCGTACCGTAACCCAACACGCGAAAAATTCGCCGTTAGGTCCGATATTATTGCTGCAGGCGCACAACAAGCAACGTTCGGGAGCAGGGAACCACTCGGGGATAGAACAGGTGAGCGCCCTTATCCTGGATGGTGCCTTTATGAAGTGCAGCAACGAAGAAAAAATTAAGAGTTACAGTTGAAACCCGCGAAACAGACCCCCATTTCCCCAGTTGGTTTCGGCGCTGACGAATCTTACCGGTGCTGACATCGTCAGCGTAAACGCTCTGCTCTGCCGAACTGCTTAAACGGCTATGGTTCGACGGTGAGAGCAGCATCGCGGGTAGCTAGTCTGTGGCGAGTCAGAAGGACAAGGCGTCCAAAGAGGATGGACAAGAACTTGTTATGTAGCTACAGGCACTCCTCGTCACGAAAGTGCCTCCACTCATATCTCTGGGAGCCCCGATTGCCTTTCAGGCATATTCTCTCTTCTTCTGTCTGCTTCTTAATTGTCGTATCAAATACCTCTGAAAACGTGGTGGTTCCTT